ATATTTACAAACCTTTACCACAAACTGATTTTCATCACATAAGAAGTTAGTCTGATTGTGCAGACTATACTTGAGAGACTGGCAGGAAACCCTTCTTTCCCAGGGACCTTGGTTTTGTCCTCCTGTAGGGGGTCAAGATCAGGTCACAGTCCCTCTTGATAATTCTATTCTTAGAGCTAATACTAATATGACATTTGAAAAGGTAGTTGAATTATCTGGTCATGCCTTAAAGGTGCAAAACCTATATATTTTTCCTCCTAAATGGCTTGTAATATGGATTCCATTTCAAGATTCTAAACAGACTGAAATGCCTACAGCTCTCTATGAACTATATGTATTTAAGATTTTTTTCCTTCTTTTTATCCTAAAGGGTTTGGTATTCAACCACGAAATAAACTCAATTTACACCAACAACAAAACTTGAATAAAATAACGTTGGGCCTTCACTGAAAACTATTCACACACATGTAAAAATATAGTTATATGTGATGTCATCTACTGTGAAAGCCTGATGGTACCACCTCATTCAATTCTAGAAAAGCAGGGACATGGAAGTGGGACATGGAAGGAAGGCTTGTATTATGTTTATGAGGTCATAGAGTACCGAAGCTGTGACGTCATAAAAATCTATTTTTAGAATTTCTCAATTTTTTCTTCATTTTCCGAAAGAACATCAAAAATAATGTCCAAATGTTGAAAACCAATTGAATATGTTAAATATTGGCTGAGATACGACCATCTGAATAAAGAAACTCCCCATAGGAACTCAGTGTTATATGCTCTGGCTCCTAATGGTTAGGAGCCAGAGCATTATAACACTGAGTTCCCATAGGACATATATTCATTCGGATGGTCATAACTCAGCCAATATTTAACATATTCAATTGGTTTTCTACATTTGGACATTATTTTTGGTGTTCTTTCGGTATATGAAGAAAAAATTGAGAAATTCTAAAAATAGATTTTTGATGACGTCACACTTCACCACTCTATTTCATGCACAATTCAATCATTAAAAAAAAAAAACACAAGTAAATGTACAGTCTTAAGTTGTAAGTGTACATGAATGAAACATAATTTTCTTCACACTCATCAGTCATCACATATCTTTTGAATTAAAACTAAGCAAAAACTAAAGTAGAAATGCACAAGGATGCTATCATTCAATGTTTGTAGAGAACCAGAAGGGTTTTAATCCTGTAATGAATAATAGGAGTTAGAGTCCTTCTGGCACTGATTGGACATAATGATCTTGCACATGTCAAATTGGAAAGCAATAATTCTGTTGAAAATTACTTCCAGCTCTAAACTGAAACTTGAAAATGAAAACGATGTTGGTCGTTGAGTGTGTAGACATTGAACCTTTTTGTGATACAGCACTACTGTCATCCCTTAGTATGTTGATTGTGCTTAGAAGTAATAACACATGGAGGTCTCAGTGTACAAAGTAAATCTCAGTCTCACTTTCCAAATGCTCCAAGGATTTCCTCTTACCCAACACTGAAAGTTAAAGTTGAGTTCTAGTCATGCGATTGCATTGTGAAAGGAACGTTGTGGAATCGATCAGAAAAAGTTGATCATGTAGCATATAAGTTTTGGTGTGTACTGCAAGGTTCTGGAATCATCAAGATGATATGTAATTTGGTCAAGTCTTGGTTAAGTTACAAGCACTGTACACAGAAGGATGTATATGGGACTACAAGAACACGTGGTGTAAAAATCTGTCCTGATTTTTACGATGTTACTTGCCATATTTCGAATATGAAGGCATTTGAAGAGCCATGCTTTTCAGGGAGCATGTTTTATCTGATGTTCTTCCACCCTTGCATCATAACAATGATAACGCTCCCAAATTATTTTTCAACTCTTCCCAGAACTCAACCTTCTCTTTAAAAGAAAAGAGTCCTACGGCCTCACGATCAGATGATTGAATCACACAGTTCAAGTAAACAGGGTTTTGTATATAAAGTATAAGATATATACTGTAGCCATAAATATTTGTCATTCGTATCACTACATCCACAATAATGAATTTGTATGCATGACAATATAGTGTGTCTTTCTACATTATCATAACAATGAAATATGATTCAATCAACTTCATCACAACTTTTCCTCGTAATGAGAACTTACAAATATTTTGACTGAATCAAATCGGAGTATGAGCTTGGATTGCTGTGAATGAGAATTTGTAAACCTTTATTTTGAATAGCAAAATACATTATATGTGATTAATGATGTCTATGTTACCTTTTATACCCCATTACAATGCACTGCCACAACATAGTGATTTCTGCATCAATCTTGTAATGTCGAGGCTAAGAATGCAGACATACCGGTAGGTCTTGAGGGTGGAGTGAGATAGGGACAACAGGAAGTGCCCTAGATAAGCCTTTATTTGGCTTTTGGTGACCCCCCGCCTCCCCCCCCCCACATTCAAATATCCAAGTGTACAGGTAGTACTTATCTTCTCCTTTTCCTATGTTCTTTTATTGTTTAATTGTTGAATGTTTTTTTATATATTGTTTGTTCCTCTGTAATTTGTATATCATGTATTTTTTTTTTTTTTTATATATTTTATTGCATTTTCTTGTTTTATCTTTGAATGTGTAAATCAATACCTTCTGAACCTTCTGAATTTGGAGTCAGCAGGGCGGTAATTCGCATGTCACTAACTTGATTGATATAAATGAAATGTAATGAAATGACAACACAAATGATATGAACAGGCTAAAGGTCAATAAAATGTTATGATTAGGTTTAATGATTATGACCACTGTTAATAGTTAGTCTTATGAGGTAAGCCTGTCTGTTAAGCTCTATTTCCTCTCTTCAGGTCAGTCTTATCAGGGAGGTGAGACCTGGTTTAATCATCTAAATATCCATGTTGTAGAAACCTACTGCTGGACTAGCTGTCTGTCTTCAACACATAGACTACAGTTTTCTGAATCAATTCATGGTGCCTTCAAGAAGCTCGACCAAGGAGAAACATACATGGAATGAACAGCTCATCGCCTGGCTGGCGGTAGGGTGTTAGCTCGAACTTCAGGTAAAAAATGAAGCGTTGAGCAGAAGGGCGTTAGCACTAAATTGCTTCAAACTTTTTTTAAACTGACTTGTGTTGCCATGTTCTACTATAACATTTCTATTAGTCTTTTAACTTTTAAATCAATTTTCAGGACAGAAAGTAGTTAAAATATAAAACAAATCTTTAAATGCGAATAATTCGAAAAGTAGTTTGGAGTCGCTCTCGCGCTGACGCCCTTCTGCCATTTGGCTGACGAGCTATAGTTTACATAAACTCCTACATAAAACAGGACTTAATTCCTAAGAACAAGACAATTCATGTGACAAAATTGTTTCCCGAGAGACCATGTTTTAGATGATATTACTCAAGTTTGTAAATGCTAATATTCAATTCCTCAAACACTTGACTGTAGACATGAACTACCTTGAGGATACTTGCCTTTGACTGAGTCTGAGATGTGATGCTTTTAAGCTTTTTTACTGCATGCTGCAGGATATTATCAATGCATGTAATGGAAGTAGGAGAACTTGATACTCCTGCCCTAGATTTTAGCAGTTCTGCTGTAGGGTAATGATTTCTGTTCCATTTTCTCCTCTCTTCCACATTTTCATCCCATTTTATGCATCTTCCTCACAACATTCTCGACTGTGAATTCATATCCCTTTCGGGGTAACTTATCACAGTTTTCTCTTCTCTTTTCTTCACTATACTATACTATATCCTCTTTCTAGTTCTCCATCACCTTCACTATTCTGCTTCATTCATTTTCTTTCCTTCAGCAAAATATTTATCTCTTTCCCAAACCTCTTCTTTTCTGGATTTCTGCATCCTCCTTTTTAACCTCAAACTTAGTGTAATATTTATAGTTGATCTAATTGACAATTACAATGTATAACGAGATCTGTACCAGGATCTGTTTTGCTCAAAATATTTACTCCACAATGACTTTGAGAATTGAATTTGATTTTATCAGAGTCAATATGAATCTATTTCCAACTTTTTAGTATTTTTTAGAATACACCATACAATAGGTGATATTGATGTAGTTATGACAAAACTGACTCCGGAAAGAAAATTGAGAATCAACACACATGTTGACTGCAAGTTTTATTTGATTTGCACATTAAGTGCCTTTCAAACATGACTCTATTGAATGCCGTCATTGAGCAGACAGTCTGTGAATATCGTCTTACTGAACAAATAGATAATCCTCTGCCAAGGGACATTGTAAAAGCCTCCCTAGGTTCCCACTATTACCCTTTTATCAAACATCTAATGTAGCTTAGCACTCAGAAGTACACTTGACTTCTCTAACAATGCCAAACCAATGTCTACACTCTGCAGGATGTATGTACGGGGGGTTCTTTATCGTTAAACTATACTTTATAGTATACTTTCTTCATTCTTCTTTTGATTTACGAATAAATCAACATCTTTTATTCCAAAGATGATCATGTGGTTTTAGTATGTGTCAAAATTTGAATAAACACCTGCTGTTACAAAGAATTTATAACAACAATATGTCAGATGAATGACTACTCGGTCATAATCAGGATCTTTTAATGTAATGAATCATTATTCTTTCATGACCAAACATAAACAAATGAGTGGGCAAAATTCTGCCAAGTATTTGAGTACAGAATGAAACCAGGATATCTTAACGTTTAAAGATAAACTCCAGTTCCGGTAAAAAAAAAAGAAAATTAATTCTCGCAGAATCAAACGAAACTTACACTGAATGTTCAAGATTACATATAAATGACATGCGCCAAACAATTTTGGAAGAAAATGTATACTGGCTGAGTAATGAGCATAGAAAGAAAAGGAAATCAAGGTAGTACTAGCCCCGACACCGTGTGTGTTGTCCCATATATAGCTTTCTGTGTACAGTGCTTGTTACTTTACCAAGACTCGGTCAAATTTATTATGATTTTGATGACTCCAGAACCTTGCAGTGCACACCAATACTTACCTGCTACATGATCAACTGTTTCTGATCCTTTCCACACCTTTTCTTTCACAATGCAATCGCATTACCAGTACTAAAGTTTATCTTTAAGACAAGAGGTCTTCCTGGCACCATGTCTTCCTCTACCCAGCATCTTAAAGTTAAAGACTGTACAGCATATACTAGGTGGATTGAGAGCCAGATGGGTGTTATCTCATATCATTATGCATAGAGTTAACACCTTGTTTTCACACTCAGACATAATACAAGCCAAGGCTACAGCATGTATTGACTCACCAGGTACCAGTACATTAAACAGGAAACGAATCCACCTGATGTTTTATTCGCAGACGATGGTATTACAAACCAAATCTACCCCATATGTACCAAAACAACAATACAATAAATAACCCTTGTATTAAAGGGATAGTTAAGTTCTTGTTTAATAGGACCGCAGATGCCTTCAAAGTGCATGGTTAATGCACTTATTTATGACATTTCTAGTGACCTTTTAGAACCTAAAATTGTTATGAAGGTAATTATTAGACCCTATAATGTGTGAATTTAGATTGAATACGATCATACCAATTCAGCTTCATTTTTAAACAATACGGTGACCGTTAATTAATTAATCAATTAATTAATAATAACAATACACAGGCCAGCTTGTTGTGCGTATTATAACCAACACAAAAAAGCTAACAAAAAGCCAATATTGGCTGAAATAAAACGTATAAGGCCCCATCTCGTTTTTCAACGGCTGGTTCAAAAATTTGTGGGGCACCACAAATATTAGGAATGGTTAAATTTATGGATTTTTCAGCCATCTCTTAACCAATTTTGATCAAACGAAGATGATTTTGTCATTCAAATTGTACATTCTTTCAAATTTGACTCAGTATTTTATCATCTCATGAAAAAATTGTTTTGTGTAGCGCCCTATAGCGCCCTCTGCAACAAAACTCAACCATCCCTTTAAGGCATCCAGGAAACTCATGTAAATAAAGACAGATGAAAAGAACAAGCTAGCCTTGATACAGGAAATGTTTCCCAGAGTTCAATGATAAAACATTATAAATAGGCCTTATAGCAAATCCGCTTCAATCCAATAGGTATCTGATATAGCACTTTTTCCTTGTAGTTATAAGTTGCTAAACATGCCGGATCACTCAATCAATAACAGGTCACTTTAAAAACTGACCATCAGGTGAGTCAATGCAAACATGTCTATAGATAGCATACAATCTCTAAGCCTATTTATCTAACAAGATGTTTCCTCTTCCTTTATATGATGAATTATATTTGGAGTTTAGAAGCTACCATATCTCTGATAATCAACTCATATACATGCCTACCACAAATCATAAATATTGCAGACATACCGGTACCAGAAATATTGCATACATAATATGAGAAAACCTCAATGTGGAATAGTCCAGTCACAAAGATTTAAGAGACAGGTACAGAGAATGGTTCCAAGGGGAGGGGGGGGTCCCTCTATATCTACCCTGAAACGAAATCATTTACATGCTTGTCCCACCGTTGCTTTTTGTCTACATTTTTTTTTTTTTTAATCATAGAAATTTCAAATCTCATAAAATCAGCATAAAAGTTGTAAATGCCATGACTGAATTTGATAAAAGGGTTCCTCCCAACATCATAGAGAATTAAGCCGAATTGCAAATATATGACAGAACCACACCCACTGTACTAATAAGCAATAAAACTGTAATTCAATGCACAATTGTCAGAAACTCTTTATAAATGCAACATTGATTTGATGCCACTTTATACTTACCGATGCCAAAAAGACACAAATCTGATAACTAATACTTCATCATCTCTATGATTTTCTAATAATGGTTGGATTACACTGATGAACAAAAAAAACATTATCATCATGACGCATTTCAATATTTGCCTTAACATTTTGATAGCAGTATCACTTCATGTCAGCTTACAAAAATTCTCATTACTTTCTGTGTGAGATGTTATCATGAGAAGCTAATTCTTGAAAGAAAATTGAAATATTATTATTTCAAAATAGAAAACCCTAGCTCATAGTATGTTCTTACCTGCTCAGTAGCTTGCATCTGAATTTGTGATGACTCGATTCATTCTTGTTTTACCATTCAATCTCTCTGCATCCTCAGTACAAAGGGTAGGATATCTCACTGTGGTTGAATGCAGGCTCTGTAAACAAATGACAAAATACATTATAATAATTTAATAGATTTATAATGGATTAGTTTGAGCGGCACATACATGTTGTAACATGAACAAATATTCTATCATTTGACATACATTGTTTTGTGTTCTTTAAATCAGATGATCATTCAGTCAGTTAACTATCAATTTCAAGGATTAATTTTGACATACAGGTACATGTAATCTGTTGTTCCTACTATTTTATATATCTTCTTTTCTCTACCGGTACTCAAAAGTATCAAGGTCTATTTACCCTCATTTTGTGAACATTAATTAGATGTACTGGTATTAATTTGCATGCTGGTTGCTGCAGCTCCATATTTGCTAAAGGTCTGGTAAGAGCAATAAATACTGACATATTCACCTGTTCTACACATTTGTACATAATAGCAGTGAAGGGATGTTCCTTTGTCTACCATAGCAATTGTTGAGGGTAGAATGAGGAACTGTATATTTTGTCAGCTTTCTTTGTCCGTCATGTTCATAGTGAGTAGTCAGGCGTAAATGCTCAAGCAGTAATTTAGTAATATATACCGGTAGGTTGTTTTGGGGGGAACAGATAGTTTATAGAAACAAAATTTCTTTTGGACATAATGATAATGGTGCATCTTTTTTGTTTGCTTTCAGACGGAGATCTTAACAGGTGTTTCATGCTCAACATTGAATGGAGAAAGAGCCCTCTTGAGAACAACAGGTTCCGATCCTGTATCTTTTACTTGTGAATGTAGTGGAGCTTTTGCAGCAGGACAGACTAGTAGATACTGTTACATACACTACTGGAGATGTCCTGTTATGGCTTAAACAAGTAAATACTAACTTACACTACTGAAGATGTCCCGTTATGGCTTAAACAAGTAATACGTTTACTTACACTACTGAAGATGTCCCGTTATGGCTTTAACAAGTAATACGTTTACTTACACTACTGAAGATGTCCCGTTATGGCTTTAACAAATAATACGTTTACTTACACTACTGAAGATGTCCCGTTATGGCTTTAACAAGTAAAAACTAACTTACGCTATTGAAGATATTATATATATGTGACAACAATTTTAATGACGTTACAATATACGCCCCAAAAGAATAGTTGCCAATGTTTTAATGACACCTTGGTTTTAATGTATTTTTTCAATGCATCTTACTGTAATTTAATTTGGGATATGAACCATGAAAAATGTTATTGTTTATATGATTATTCTGTTCCTGATTAGAATTGCTCAAGGAGTTTATAGTATATTCCTGTAGTGCCATCAAAGTGCTTTAAATGAAAATTCCACCAAACATTGTTAAAATTGAGACTCCTTGAATTAGATTTGGGTGATGACCGGCAGCACCTTTGAGTTTTTAAGGTTAGATATGGTTTAGAAGCTTTAACATTGAATATTTCAATTTTATTCTAAATAGTTTCTTACTGTCTGGCATTTGGCAAATATAACAAATGAATAAAACTGACTTATCAATATAATGTTAATATTGATATTGTGTCTAATGATAACAAATAAAACTAGACATATAATACTTGTTTAAATATTTTGAGCCAGCTTACAAGAATGCCATTGCTTTTAAAAGTAGCCCATGGCTTTTGTCTCTCCTAACCACATGTCCATACCATCTCAATCTAGCCATCCATGTCTCCTGTGACTTCCTACAGATACGGTAGGAGATCATTCTCATTTCAGCCTGTTCCAACACTAGATGACTTCATTGCTCTATACGAAACATCAAGCACTCAAGTCACTAAGAGCAACACAATGAATACTGACATTTACAGCTTTAAAGCTTTGGTCTTGCACTCATTGGAGTAAATAGATGACTTCTAGGAAATGTTTAAAGATAAACTAATGAAATCCTTGCACACTACTTCATGAATGCATTCAGTTGAAATTCAATCCTCAAAAGATTAAACTGAATAAGAATCTCTATTGAAGACTTGAAGATCATAAAAATGATAAATGATACGGTGTTTTGTGATAAGTCGGTCATGCCAGTTAGCTTAGACTCAATGAGCAGATTGAAAGCATTATTCAAATCTTTAAAAACCCTTATATCTAATAACCCGTAACACAATGTTTAGATAGAAAATGACTGAGAATGAACATCAGTAAGTTCATAATGTGTTACTGTCATGCTACTCTCTACCACTTCCTTAAATCACGGCCCAAGTCCCAATACTAATTGTTCAGTGACAGATGATATTCATATACATTTAAATTAAGGCGTAGAAAACTATATCTCTTAAAGGAAAAATAAAGTGATGGCAAAAAATTCTTTCTCTATTCAATACTTGTTTACTTGCTCATCAAAGAATCTGTTGATTTTATTTTAGTGTGCATTCTAATATGACAAGATATGACCAGCATAATTTGTTAGTTAATCATTTGCTACATGAATGATAACCACAAGGATTTATGTTGATATTCATTGTTGTTTTTTGTTTGTTTTTCATGTTGTTGTTCCAAAGACTACGTCAGAAAATAATTGATCAAATAGCATGCAAGAATCTACAACGGCAATTTCTTATATCTTCCTAACAAACTATGTATTTGTAAATCGCATTTTATCTTTAAAATGTAAAATCTAACATTGTTTTTTTTTATATTTCAAACAATTCATACATGAATGACTTATCCTAGCCAATTTCTTTATCTATACCTCCTACGATTGACTATCTCATCTATACCTCCTACGATTGACTATCTCATCTATACCTCCTACGATTGACTATCTCATCTATACCTCCTACGATTGACTATCATACCTCCTTAGATTGACTATTTCAACTATACCTCCTTAGATTTACTATTACATCTATACCTCCTACAATTGACAATCTCATCTATACCTCCTTAGATTGACTATTTCAACTATACCTCCTTAGATTTACTATTACATCTATACCTCCTACGATTGACTATTTCATCTATACCTCCTACGATTGACTATTACAACTATACCTCCTACGATTCACTATCTCATCTATACCTCCTACGATTGACTATTTCACCTATACCTCCTATGATTGACTATTTGATCTATACCTCCTACGATTCACTATTTCAACATGTTATCATCATCCCAGGAAGAGAGAGATAACCTATTGATCTCACACTCATCTCCTCTTCCATCCTGTTCACATGGCCAGTCACTAAACAACATACTCTACAAACCTGTCCCATACAACATACCGAGCACAACATACTCTACAACCCTGTCTCATACAACATACCAAGCACAACATACTCTACAACCCTGTCCCATACAACATACCGAGCACAACATACCGAGCACAACATACTCTACAACCCTGTCCCATACAACATACCGAGCACAACATACTCTACAACCCTGTCCCATACAACATACCGAGCACAACATACTCTACAACCCTGTCCCATACA